GCCTCCCCATCAGCACAAGCCTCCATAGACAACCCCCTCCGGCGATCACTCACCCGGCATTCAAAGCGCCGCCGACCGCTGCCTGGACACCGCCGCAACCCGCCGGCCTCGTCCCCGCCGCTACGATAGCCTCCGGTTCTCTTCCCTTGATAAATAAACTGGGGAGAGAACCACAGCAATTGCCGCTCTCAGGGAATCTGCCGCTCCAGGCAAACGCCTTGTTTGCCTCGCGGCAGATACGCCCCTGCCTATACAGCCACCTCATCTAAGGACTGGCAATCTGCAATATAATACATTTTTGGCTTAAATTCGCTTCATGCATCAACTGATGTGAGCCACGGCTATAATGTTAGCTGGTCGCATTATACAACTATGTATTTTCTTGCATACATCTACAGTTTATTCCCAATATGTGATCTGGGTGTTTCTCCTATATACAGAGGGTACATGTTTGTCTAGATACCATATACAACTCTGCAGAAATAAATGGCACAATGGCATCTGCACTGTACCTGGGTGCCTTCCTTTATCTATAAAAATATAGGCAAAACTCCATCGGACATTACAAGTGGAAACATAGAAGGTGATTAGAAAACATGCCTTGCAGCGTTTGCAGTAATTCATAATACTGTATCGATTAGTATTCTTTAGCTATATCAATGCCCAACTCTTATGTGCTCTATAAAGTGCCACTCTATGAATATCCGACAATGCTTTACCCTTGTTCAAATTGTGCCACTGTTTATGACTGGACAGGCAGAAATAGCAGTATGGAAAAACCATTAAGGGGCAGGATATACTGAGATTGAACCACTATGAAATGAAACGACTATACTGGGAGACAATGAGAAAATTAAAGAGAATAAGAGATAACAGAAGGGGGACAGGTGAGGACTGGTGAGGACTGGTGAGGCACAGGTATGGACCAGAAATGGAGCGATATCCAGATTCCTCATAATTACAGAGGGATACAAGAGAATACAGACAGTTTAAATAATGAAGTCCAAACAAAACACATAAAATAGAGAGAGCTATACAGAAAACAAAAGGCAGGTGATATAGGAAGATCCAGAACATTACAGGTAGCAGAAACAATGTAATACAGACAACTACAGACCGCTGAAGAGAGATACAGGACACTACAGATAATAGGAAACCACACACAATTCATATAGGGAGGTGAAGAAGACTACAATCAGCTGAAATCAAAGGCCAATAAACTAAAACAGAAGGAATGGAGAAATACAGGGAACTATTATGAAAGATTAGATATATATAGAAGCTACAGCTAAAGGGAAAAGAGTAACACAGGAGCTTGAATTGCCCATATACCTCTAAGTGCAGTCAAACGTGCAGGTACAAGTCATCTTTCGTCAAGCACTTTAGTCCACTAGCACACACATAAACAAGAAGGCACGACTCAGCTGAGTACTAATGTTTATGTCAATTCAAAGGGCAAGACAAATTTGTAAAGGGGTACAAGCAGAGCTGCCAATGTTTCCCTTTTTGGTGGGTTGAGGAGGGTAATAGTGATTGGGGCAGGTTTGCTAATCCACCCAACTGGCTTTCCCCGAAGACCCAGCTAACGTATGGCTGATAAAATGGACCTGAGAGACCTTTTTCTTGGCCAAAGTGTCCAGATTGGGCAACTCTCATCCCACCTCTATAGGAAGCTGAACATAGAGATAGACAGATGAAACTAAGTACACACTAGAAAGACAGGATGAATGGAGATCAATGGGAATCTGCATGGAAAGAATATGATACAAGGAGGTGTTACAAGAACCCGTGGACATTAGAGGATGAATGGAGAACAATGGGAATCTGCATGGAAAGAAAATGATACAAGGAGGCGTTACAAGAACCTGTGGACATTAGAGTGATGCAGGAAACTACAAACAGCATAGAAAAATAAATCTATGATAGCTACAAAAATCTGCAGACAGAGCTATAGAGAGCCACTGGAAAAGATACAGATAACTACAGACTGTTGGACAAAAGAGATATAGGAAAATATAGTCATAGCCAACATGCAACAGCCAACTACAGATAGTAGGAATAGCGAGATACAGGAAACTTAAGACAATGGGGATGAGGGATATACATACGTCTACAGATAGTGGGACTAGACAGATACAGGAAACTACAAACAGCGGAAATAGAGAGATACAGGAAACTGAAGACAGCGGGAATAGCGGAATATACATAAATTTACAGATAGTGGGACTCGAGAGAAACAGGATGTGTAGCCAGTAGAACAAAAGACACAGGAACCTACAGACAATAGGAGTAGAGAGACACAGGAAACTACAGACAATGGGAGTAGAGAGATACAAGAAGCTAAAGACAGTGGAAATGGAGGGATATACATAAATCTATAGATAGTGGGAAAAGAGAGATACAGGGAACTACAGACAATGGGAGTAGAGAGATTCAGGAGACTACAGATAATAGAAGTAAATAAATACTGGAAACTAGAGACAATGGGAGTAGAAAGATACAGGGAGCTACAGACAATATAAGTAGAGAGATACAAGAAACTAGAGACAATAGAAGTAGAGAGATACAAGAAACTACAGACAATAGAAGTAGAAAGATACTGGAAACTACAGACAATAGAAGTGGAGAGATACAGGAAACTACAGACAATGGGAGTAGAGAGATACAAGAAACTAGAGACAATAGAAGTAGAAAGATACTGGAAACTACAAACAATAGAAGTGGAGAGATACAGGAAACTACAGACAATGGCAATATCGAGATACAGGAAACGACAGACAATAAGAATAGAAAGATACAGAAAACTACTGACTGGAAGAAGGAGAGAGAGAGGGAGAAGAGAAGAGAACTACACCAGTGAAAAGGAGCCAAAGGATGGTCTCTCTCATCGTTTTAAGTGGGAGAACTTGCACAATTGGTGGCTGACTAAATACTTTTTTGCTTCACTGTATAGCGGAAACAGAATGTAAATAACATGAATAAACTGTATATGGCATCAACGGAGAGAAACAGAAAACTACAGACAATAGAGTACAAAAAAAAAGGAAATATAAAGTAGCAAAATGTGAGCGATACAGGTAACGAAAGACAATGATAATGAAGAGGTGAAGCAAAAAGACATGAGTGATCTCTGAATGCAGCCACACCACAAGAATGGTCAAAGGTTTGTTAAGAGGTCATTAACATATCATCATGGCTGGTCTGTAAACACTGGAGCTAAAGTGGGGCTGTAGCCTATAGCAGCCAATAAAACTTACTGTTTCATGTTAAAGGTTAGCTGATATTGGCTACAGTTCCATTTTTATAATGGGCTCTGTTCATCGAATAAAGCAATTGTCTACATGTGACCAGAAACAGGGAGGGACATTGTGCATGGGCATTTTCGGTACTGCTGCGTTCTTTTGTGCTCACTTCCAACACAACAGAGTAAGGCCTTGTGTAGATGAGCAAATGCAACATGCTTTGAAGTACATTCCACATGCATTGGACGTGAATCAGTCTAAGTTGATTCTGGGTTCCATATGGGTCCCTTTACAAGTGAATGTAACTTCCTACGCTGCATAAAGCTGCTTCAAGCTGCTTTTGCACTCCCATTGACTTGTATGGGGAGAAAAGCAGTTCTGAGGTCAACAAAGGCCCATGTACAAAGGTTCTAAATCTAAATAGGACAGAGCCCATAAAAACACACATGTATGCTAGCTGGGAAAACAGCAGTAAGAGTAAGATGGGAAGGTACAGCTAAAGTAAGTGAACACGGTAGCCAGCAAGCTACGTTCTAGAGAAATATAGGATACCTTTAAGCAACTGTAGTAAAAAAAAAATGGTATGCTTTGACAGAAAAGGAAGATAACTAGAGAGAGCTAGGGTCAAGAATTTACCACACGGCAGACAGAAAGAGAAATATTAGGTAGCTAAGCAGAGAATCTTTGCAATGGGGAACAAAGAATAGGCGTCAATGAAGCAAAGCACCCATGGGATGATGGGAAACCAAAACATTGGTCATGTGATAGACAAGAGCTGAGGCAGAGGCACATATTATTGACATACATAGGCACATAACTAATTGATATCCGGTATACCTATGCACATGCACACACCAACATACAGAGTATGAAATATGTACATATGGTTGTGTCTTTATAAACATTTACATACGCATTTGCGCACCCAGACATACTCCTACATCTTATATACTGCCACACACACACACACATAAATTCTGGCTCAAAAGGTCAGGCCATGGTCACTCCAAAGGGTCCGTCTTGGCTCAACAAGGACTGCAGTATTGTCCTTCCAGCAAGGCGGTCTACATCGGTTGAGGACCTGCAGACCGTATGCTAAAATATTCAGGGAATCCATTCTGATGGTGTATTTGGGGGGCATGGAGTTGCTGAAGTCCCCCAAGCTGAGTTTCACCGACTGGTACTTTCTGGGTTCCCGGGGCTCCGTTCATTGATGGGGGGCTGAAGACATGATGTGGGTCAGAGGTGAGCTGCGAATAGCATTGTCCCAGGGTCACTGGATATTGAACTGGCTTGTTTATCTGCGTGAAGACAGATCAAGACTGTTACGAAAAAACGAAGAAAATGTTAAAAAGCATTACAAACTAAAGTGGAATGGCAATGAAAAGGGACATAATAATGTGAACACAGAAGAAGGACATCTACTAAAAAGAAAAAATATTGAGACATTTATAGAGTATAGCGGTAGCATTTATAAATGTGATCTGCATGCAGAGGGACCTTTTATTCCAATGTATGAATGGGTTAAAAATACAGGAGGAGGAGAGACCTGTCACGAGAATCATCAAAGTCATGTGATCGGCTTCTTCTCCAATCACAGAGTGATACAAAGCTTGAATTTATCCCATACGGCCCTCGGGCTGAACCAGGGAGAGAGAATTCATCGATTCAGCCATCAGCAGCCAAACCACCAGCAGCTGCCTGAATACATGGACACTTCTGAACATTGGCTGTATGTGATAGGACATAGTCAATGTTCAGCTAATAATTTCCCACCGGGCTCCATCAATTTTTAAATTAGCCTGGAACTCGTAGGGTCAACCACAACTCGAATTGTGAAATTTGAGCAGTCTATGGCCAGCAAAACTTTAAAAAGTATTTGAGTCCAGATTTAGGAACATATATGAGTACACGGGTCGCTTGAGCCTGCATATTTATTTCATGGTGTAGAAAGGAAGAAATAGATAGTAGAAAGGTGCGGACAGATATCTCCATTACCGTTATGTCTAGACAGAAATAAAAGAGATTGGATATTTATAACCCGTCTAATCACTTTTTCCCCCAAGATCTCTTGGTCAGTGATGCCTTCAGCCAGGTGTGTCCCTAGCCTTTTTTCCATCTGAGGTAGGGCGCTGGTGGTGCAATCTTACCCTTTGCATCATCTCCCTGCCCAGCTCTGGCTCCTACTCTGACCGACGTCCCGCCCAGCTCCTGGCAACCAGTGACATAGCTGAGCAGGACGCTGGCCAAAGCATCTCATGGTCAAGGAGATGTGTATGGCCCTTACATATCTCCCTGCCTGGCTCATAACAATATGGGATGCTCTGGCGGGAAAGGAAGCAGCAGGCACACTTCAAACATTGTTCGGTAGAGCGCCCCCC